CGGCATTCACTGTTCTTTGTTTCTTCCGCGACCATCACTTGCTTCAGGTTCGTGTTAAACCCAAGATATATTTTTTTTTTTGGAAAAAGAAACCCGAGACATTTGTACTTCCAATTCATACGATTTTATGTCATTTTAGCTCTTTGTTGGAAGGCCACAATTGCTGACCGTTGCAGGGCATTCGCATACTTATGTGGCTAAGGTACTCAAAAAATTAACTGATGATGGATTTTTTTCAAGTATTACGGATCATTATGTATATCTATACTATCAGGTTAGGACAGAACTGGAAAAACGAGGATGCAAAATCAGAACAAGTCGTGAAGTACAATCGGTTACCACTTCTGAAGATAATGGTCTCTCTCTCTCTCTCTCTCTCTCTCTCTCTTCTACATCTTCTTTGATAGTTTTGGCATCCAAAACCTGCAGGTGTCACTGTAAGGAATGGAGATGGGTCGGAGGAAGTATTCGATCGATGTATATTGGCAATGCACGCTCCGGACGCTCTAAGGTTGCTTGGGGAACAAGCAACATCCGATGAAAGGAGGGTTCTTGGCGCTTTTCAATACGACTACAGGTAACGCCAACTACTCAATGTCGATCTTCTTTGGTTATAAAGTATGCATAAGGTAATTCGTTAACAATGTTCTCTTCACTTGCCAGCCATATATATCTCCACCGTGACACAGATTTTATGCCCCGAAATCCAACAGTATGGAGCGCGTGTAATTTTCTCGGGAACACAGAAAATAAAGTGTGCGTAACATACTGGCTCAATGCAATTCAGGTACATAGAAACAATCTCTTGGCATGATGAAGACGAAGAAAAGGGCTTTATAATTGATTGTTAAAGTATCGATCGATTGATGTGTGATACAAACTGCAGAATCTTGGAGAGAAGAGGGAACTGTTCTTCGCGACATTGAATCCCGACCATACCCCAAAGAAGGCATTGCTCAAATGGACCACCGGTCACCCGGTTCCTTCTGTCGCCGCCTTGACCGCTTCACATGAGCTTTCCAAGGTTCAAGGAAAACGTGGGCTATGGTTCTGTGGTGCATATCAAGGTGAGAATATAGATTGTGAACCATCTTTTTTCTCCATATTGGATGAAACAATACTTTCTGATTCTTGTCAGAATTTTTTCTTTCAGGCTATGGTTTCCATGAAGATGGATTGAAGGCAAATGATCAATGAAATACAACCCTTCTCTTATAGCTTTGTATATTTTCTATTACTTATAGTTTCCGAAACTCGATTCTTCATCTTTTAGGGTGGCATAGCGGCAGCTCAAGACCTGTTAGGAAAAAATATCACTTTTCCGAGCAATCCGAAACACATCGTCCCGTCGTTTGCAGAAACAACGGCTAGGGTTTTCGTCACCAGATTCATGGGACAGTACATCTCAACGGGTTACGTTACGTAAGCCCCGGTCCAAAACTCGAACTCAATAACTCTCCACATGAACTTTTTTCTCTAATGCCAATGCATTTTCTTACGTTGTGTCTGACAGACTACTAGAAGATGGAGGATCAGTGTTCAAATTCGGGGGGAAACATCCAAAATGTACCTTGAAATCTGTTATGAAGATTCATAATCCTCAGTTTTATTGGAAGGTAAACTACAGAGATGAAGTTGTGGGTGTTGTTCTTCGAGTGCTCACTCAAGAATTGGATTCTTGATTCTGCCAGGTCATGACAGAGGCAGACTTAGGCCTCGCAGATGCTTATATCAATGGAGATATTTCGTTCGTTGACAAAGACGAGGGACTTCTGAATATGATCATGGTAGATGCACATACAATACAACCCGAGACTTTTCTTTTTCTCTTTTTTCATCATTTGGATTTATCTTTTACATGCAGATTCTCATAGCTAATAGAGATTTAAACTCATCGAAATCAAATCTTGCGAAGAAAAGGTAAATGAACGCTTCGGTAAATGCTTTGTAAGCTCGGTGTACTAATTTTGTCATATTCTTATCTGTCTATTTAGGGGTTGGTGGACACCAATGTTTTTCACCGCTGGTTTGGCGTCAGCAAAGTACTTTCTAAAGCATGCTTACAGAAAGAACACCTTAATACAAGCTCGTAGGAATATTTCCGATCATTATGATTTGGTAAATGTTCTTACAAACCCTTGCATATGTTTTCAATCTCGATGAACTCATTACTCTTCGTAGCGTTTCTTGATCGGGGTCATTCACAGAGTAACGAGTTGTTTGCTCTATTTCTGGACGAGACGATGACATACTCGTGTGCGGTATTTAAGGTGACCGATTAAACTTTGAATAGATTTGTCAGCTGAAAAGTTTGAAGCCCGATCTTATTCGAGTTTTTTTCTTTTACGTTTTTGTAGTCCGATGACGAGGATTTGAGAACGGCACAGATGAGGAAAGTTTCTCTTCTGATTGATAAGGTAAGAAATACAAAAGATAACTATGTGATATATACAACACACGAACTGAGCTTTCTTCTCATTTTTTATGACATCATGGTCAAACGTTTTAGGCGAGAATTGAGAAGAATCACGAGGTTTTGGATATCGGATGCGGCTGGGGAACCTTAGCTGTAGAAGCTGTGAGACGAACTGGATGCAAATACACCGGCATTACCTTATCGGTCGAACAGCTTAAATACGCCGAAGCAAAGGCAAAAGAAGCTGGGCTTGAGGTATGTGCACAACTGAGAAAATATTTCTTTCAGACAGTAACAAGGAAAGGGAACAACCAACTAAGAAAAATATATGTCTTGATTTCAGGATCGGATTACATTTGAACTCCGCGATTATCATCAGCTGTCGGATTCCCGTAAATATGACAGAATTATATCTTGGTAACGAATGTCATATTCTCCGTTGTATAACCGATGGCTTAAACTATGTCTAATGGAAAGATTATCGATGTTTCAGCGGGATGATAGAACATGTTGGACATGAATTCATGGAGGCGTTTTTCAACCGCTGTGAATCTGCGCTTGCGGAAGAGGGCTTACTTGTTTTGCAAGTAATTATTGTCCTCATTCTCTCACTATTTCCTTCATGATTTCTTTTAATCGATCTTAATGAATTTTCTTGCATCGGGATACTAGTTTGTGTCGATACCCGATTCACGTTACGACGAGAACAGATTAAGTTCAGATTTCATCAAGGAACATATCTTCCCGGGCGGATGCCTTCCTTCTTTAGCCAGAGTAACATCTGCAATGGCTTCTTCATCAAGGCTATGGTGATTCTTCTTCTTCAGCATAGTGTATAAAATCGTCTTTATCCATAACCAAATCTGATGAGGTATGATGAATACGCAGCATCGAACACGTTGAAAACATCGGAATCAATTACTACAAGACTCTGAGATGCTGGAGACATAACTTCTTGGAGAGACAAGAGTAAGAAAAAGGAAAGACTGAATCTTTTCATACGTTTGATTCATCCGTTAGCTAACATGGAAAAAACCCAATATCCGCGTAGACAAGTTAAAGCTCTCGGATTCGACGAGAAATTCATCAGAAAGTGGGAATATTACTTGGATTACTTTGCTGCTGGCTTCAAGACTCTTACACTCGGAGACTACCAGGTAAAAACAAAGTGATTTCCACGGTATCTAACTTGATGTCGGATAACATTGTTTCATGTTTACACGGGTTTTAGGTGGTGTTTTCTCGTCCTGGAAACACAGCAGTGTTCGGAGATCCGTACATGAGCTTCCCTTCGGCTCGTTGTTCCTACCCTTAAACCGAAAGCTATATGAATGTTTCGAGTTCTTTATCATGAATACCTTTATCATCAATACATAAATAATGCATATGTTATGTATAATTTGACGTATGAATAAGAGCTTTCATGGTTGATTCTGCTGTTCGGACAACAAGGTGGTGTTACCGTACGTGAATGTGATCTCCACGGTTGTACAATTTCAGAAACAAGTCCGTGTTAATGTGAACCCAACAAAATTATTACCACATACTGGAATTGAAATTGTTATATTTTTTCCTCTCTTTTTTTTCCACATTTTATCAAGTTAATTAAACAAATATTACGAACCAATCATTGTAATGGTCACATAACATGTATAAATAATTTTTTTAGTATAAGTGAATTTCGTATTTTTAACATTCTCAAACTCACATTTTTAATTAAATAAACGAAACCATTTTCAATCTCTATCAATATAACCGACAACATTTTTTAACCAATCTCTATCAATATAACCGAAAACATTTTTTAACCGACAACAGAATCATTGTTATGATGATTGTACGGATATTAAGTGTCCCGTTAGATTCTTTGACCAATATATATTTTTCTTGGGATTTTTCATGTAATAAACTATCAACGCACAACGGCAATTTTCTACGGATTTTTTTGGATAATTATTATTTTTCTAATGAAAACGTTATTTTTAATATATTTCATGTAAACATACGTGGGCGCTTCCAATTCCATCTCATTTTACATATTTTTTTGCCAAACACACTTAAAAACAGTTATTTGTGTTATCATATATTTATTATTTAATTATTCACACAAAAATTATTGGAATTTAAGCAACCACACCGGTTTAAAAAAAAGGGTAGACAGGTAAACAAAGTCATGGCATAATTAAATACTGCTACATTCATAATTAAATATATATATCCACCATTGCCAGATTCCGTCAAACCGTCAAGCGGCGTTACCGATCATGAGAAATTTGACAGTTTTAACGAAATTCGTATATAAAGTTTTAGTGTTGAATGTTGATGTATCTATATAATATTTTTATATAAGTTGAAAATTTATGTGAAATTCTCCTTTAAATATATACATGTCATGTATAAAATATTTAAAACAATTCAAACTTAACCAACTACCACTTCTGTAGTTATGACAACTAAAGACTCTATATTTACAATAAATACTTATTAAAATTAATATATAATGAAATGGATGTATTTTATGATTATAATAGAGTTTACATTTTTATTATTTAGGATTTATCATTTAAAAATTAGCTTTTTTCATTTACAATCTAAAAATACTAGGTATAATAATTAAATAGTTCATCTATGTATTATTATATTAAAATACATTTAAATTATTTTTTTCGCTTCTAACAAAAAAAAAATCTATTTTTAAATCTTTTTATGAGGTTTGAAAAATTAACGCCAGAAGTATAAAGGAAGTACTGAACAATAACTAAAACGTGATAATATAGTTTTTACTACAATTATGTGCAATTGTTTTCGGGTAAAGAAAATTATGTGCAATTTTATTAACTGCAGATTGTAATTGTAGAAACATTATAGATTTTTAGATTTGTTTTAAGAGACAAATATTTATTCACATTTATGAGTAATTTAGATCTTAATTGAACGTTTTAAAATTTTTATAGAATTCTTTTAGTATATATTTCTAAGTTATTAAAGTATTTTAATCAAATACATTTATCAAGCATAACGATGCGTATTAGAAACAATATAACATTATAACAAATATATACGGGTTGGTTAATGGATAATAGTGGAAAAGGATGTAAACATATGGCCCCGTCTTTTGCGGAGACAGCGGCTAAGGTTTTCGTCACCAGATTCATGGGACAATACATCTCAACGGGTTACGTTACGTAAGCCCCGACCCGACACCTAAACTCAATAATTCTCCATATGAATTTTTTTCTTCTAATGTCAATGTGTTTTCTTACCCTGTGACCGATAGTCTACTAGAAGATGGAGGAACAGTGTTCAAGTTTGGTGGGAAACATCCGAAATGTACCTTGAAATCTGTTATGAAGATTCACAATCCTCAATTTTACTGGAAGGTAAAGTACAAAGATGAAGTTGTGGATGTTGTTCTTCCATGACTCACTCAAGAATTGGATTCTTGATTCTACAAGTTCATGACCGAGGTGGACATAGGCCTTGCGGATGCTTACGTCAGTGAAGATATTTCGTTCGTTGACAAGGACAAGGGCTTCTGAATTTGATCATGGTAAATATATACTTATAGAAGGCATAGAATCCGACCTGAGTCTTTTTCTTTTTCTTTTTTCAACATTCGATTTGATCTTTTGCATACAGATTCTCATAGCTAATAGAGATCTCAACTCATCAAAATCAAATCGTGCGAAGAAAAGGTAATGAACACTTCAATGAATGCACTGTAAGTTCGATATGTTAATTTTATCGCCCGAAATTCGCTTCTTTTACCTGATCTATTTAGGGGTTGGTGGACCCCGATGTTTTTCACCGCTGGATTGGCCTCAGCAAAGTACTTTCTAAAGCATGCCTTCAGAATGAACACCTTAACACAAGCTCGTAGGAACATTTCTCTTCACTATGATTTGGTAAGTGTTCTTATAAATCCTTACATGTTTTCAATCTAGATGAACTAATTAATTACTCTCGGTTGTTTACATCTAAATCTCATTTCTTGATCGATATAATTCACAGAGCAACGAGATGTTTGCTCTATTTTGGATGAGACGATGACATACTCGTGTGCAGTATTCAAGGTGACTGAAAACTTCGACGGGTTTCTTTACCAAGTTGAAACATTAGAAGCCTTCTCTTATTCAGGTTTTAATGCTTCTGTAGTCGGATAATGAGGATATGAGAATCGTACAAATGAGGAAAGTTTCTCTTTTGATTGATAAGGTAAGCAATCTCCATAAAGAAATAGAAAATAGAAATATATAAACACAAAATATACCTATATATACATATATATCCATAAAGAAATAGAAAATAAAAATATATAAACACAAAATATACCTATATTTATATATATATATATATATATATAAATAAAATATTTGTTTATACGTATATATATACCTCCTTAATATACATATATATACACA